ATAAATACATGATTATCTACCAAATTGCAAGTAAAAAAATAATAATTCCTTGGACCGCTGTTGTTCCTAATTAAGAGTGGGGACATCTATGCAAATATCAAACACTCCAGAGTAACAACTTTTGCTGATGATACTAGATTAAGTACATAATTAAGTTTAATGGTGGATGAAGATAAACTAAGAGAGGACCTGCATGCCATCGGTAAATGGGCAACTGAAAACAATATGACCTTTAATGCTGATCAATTTAAAATCATGAGATATAGTCCAACTGGAAGTCCAAGACCAAGACTATACTCTGTGGAAGGAATAGATATAAAGAAAAGGTAGTTGTAAAAGACCTAGACCTGTCTACAAGTAATGATTTGAACATTCAGTCACCACACTGAGCAGGCAGCCAGTAAAGGAAAAGTTATGAGTGGATGGATGATGAAAACTTTTTAGACAAGAGATCCAGAAAACCTATTCATCATCATTGTGGAGATAACGACGACGGGGGCGCATAGCCACATCCACCCTTTGCTTGTACCTGCGAGGATCCCTCATGGCAAGTCGCCAGGCAGGGACTCTGCCCATCTCAAGCTCCTCACGACAGGTTTGATCGATCTGCCCAAGCCACGACTTCCTAGGTCGACCCACAGGCCTCCTCCATCCAGGGCTGTCTTGAACAGAGACAACCTGGTGGGTGGTATCATCCTGAGGGAAGCAAGCCAGGTGGCCGTAAAGCCTGAGTTGGCAATCACGGATTGTGCAGGTAATAGGTCCTGTGCCAGTCTCACTGTGTTGCCGTTGGTTGGACACATGGTCCCGCCAACAGTACCACATGATCCAGCGCAAGGACCTATTACAAAAGGCATCAAGTCAAGACTCCAAGGCGCAGGATAGTGTCCAGGTTTCACTACCGTATAGCAAAACTGGGATTATCAGGGCCTTGAAGACACGAAGCTTGGTCCTTCTGCACAGGTACCCATCTCCAAATACTCTTGTCGAGAGAGTTCATGACCCCTGCTGCCAGGCCAATCCGTCTGCTGACTTCATGGTCTGACAGCCCAGAGTTATGAACTACACTACCAAGGTATGTAAAGCTCTCTGTGACTTCAATGTCCTCGCCGCAAGCACGTACCGACTGAACAGGTTCTCCAAGTCCCCAAAGTCCTGGATCTTGGTCTTGGTCCAGGAGACCTCTAGACCCAAGGGCTTCGCTTCATTACTAAATGCATCGAGAGCCACCACTAAGGATTCCAAAGACTCAGATAGAATGGCAACATCATCAGCAAAGTCAAGGTCGGTAACCTTGATATTGCCCAGAGTTGCTCCACAATGACTTTGAACAGTAGCTCTGCCCATTATCCAGTCCATGCAAGTGTTGAAAAGAGTTGGTGCAAGGACACAGCCTTGCCTCACTCCTGAACTAACAGGAAAGAAGTTTGACAGGCCCCCACCACACTTTACAGCACTTTCAGTACCAGTATACAGACTTGCTATTAGTCCAATAATCCTTGTTGGAATTCCTCTCAGTCTCAAGATCTCCCAGAGTGATTCCCGATGCACCATATCGAATGCCTTCTTGAGGTCGATGTAGGCTGCAAGCAGCCCACGCCCGAACTCACGACGACGCTCTAATGAAAACCTATTGGCATTATGAAAACACTAGTGATTCCAAGATTGGAATACCAGTACCAAGTATGGAGTTTCACAGGCTCAAAGAATCTTAAAACCTAAAAATTTAGACAACCTGGCAGGTCTTAGATATTGGGGAAAATTGATACAACACAAGTTTTTTTTCTCTTTACAGACAGAGAGAAAGATACCTAATCATATATCTATGGAAGATCATTGAAAACTTAGCACCAAATGAAAATGAAGTAGCAGAAGGGGAAATCAAGGTAAAACACTTCCCCAGACAAAGAAGAACATGTTATCTTTCTGGGATAACTGCTCAAACTGATTAAGAAAAATGTGTAACCAGAGTTTCTTAATCAATGGGCCAAAACTGTCTGATAGTATTACAAAAAGCATTGGAAACATAACCCAGAGCACTGTGCAAGTGTTTACATGAAAATTAGACTATTGGTTGAATTCAGTACAAACTGCCAACCAGTGGTAGGGAAAGAATGAATCAGATTCTATTCCACATCAAGTTCAGTCCTTAGAAGCTGAAAGAATATAGACACTCACCCATGATGGCCCTAGCATGAGCCACTTATAGGGCTCTTACTTAAACTCACTCACTCACTCACTCACTCATTCACTTACACTCACTCACACTCACACACACACTCACTCACACACACACTCTCACACTCACACTCACACACACTCACTCACACACTCACACACACACACACACACACACACACACACACACACACACACACACACACACACACACACACACACACACACACACACACACACACACACACACACACAGAGAGTCACTCTCTCTCTTTTGCAAGCACCAACGAAATATTTCCATGTAACTTTTCTCATCCCTTACCCTCTTGGTCACATATTACTGCAGGGGGATCTTCCTCCACAGGAGACTCTAGGCTCATCTGGGACAGCTGATCAGAACTGCCAGTCACATTCAAGAAAATTAAAAGAAATGATAACTGTTCTTCAATTTTCAGGAATGTTCTTCTTACCTTTATGCTTTTGCACATTTTTCAAAGATATGAGCTCATAAACTTGCTACTCACATACATATAAATAAATAAACGTGCACATACTTTGGTGTGAGTGTTTGCGTATCTAATGTATGTGTTATGCAAGTGTCTATGTTTAGTATGTATTTGCTATGTGTATTTATGTATTTGGTATTTGTGTTTCTATGTCTGATGTGTGTGTGTCAGGTATATGTGTTTCTTGTGTGTGCATGTTTGTCCGGAAAGTGCATATGCCTGATATATGTGTTTGGTATGTGTAAACTTATGTGTATGTGTGACTGGTGTGTCTAGTGTGTGCATGTTTCTTGTGTGTCCAAGTGTCTGGTATGTGCATTATGTGTGACTGGTGTGTGGGTGGGTGTGGGTATGGATATATATATATATGTGTGTGTGTGTGCGTGTGCGCACATGAAGGTCAATGTGTGAGTGTACAAGCATGTGTGCATATTTGTATGTATGTATGTGTATGATAATGCAAAAACTATAAGCTGGAAATTTCTACACCTACCCTACACTTTTCAACCTCTTGAACTCCTTAGGATGATCACTAGAACCAATTGCAGTAAAGCTTGCATCATCTGATTCAGACTTGCGCTTAGGGGTTGGTCTGTCATCGTACATCCTGACACGTACTAATGGTGGACAGCTGGCCCTTACTGTCTGCAATGGTCAGAAGAAACAAATTAACTTTTCAACTTAAAAGTCCATGACTCACTGGTACACTACATACACTCTGGCTAATTCTCTCCAAATATACCCCTTTTTTTTACTTAATAACAAAATTTACATATGATTTCCAATTGGAAGTATTGGTACACAGTCCTTCAAAATACATAATGCATCATGCTATCTAGCCTATACTTTTAAAATGTGTACTATTCCCATTGGTAATGTATACAGCTAGAGTTTTCACTAATCTTTTAGTTTCACACAGCCATCCAACCTTGCAATTATAATTCCTTGTTTCAATTATTCACACTGTATTATGCATGAATCTTGTTATTTTCCACAGCAAATAATAATAATAGAAGTACTAATAACTGTTTATAAAGTGACTGCACTCCTCTGAGACTAAGTTCCTATTACTTCAGCCATTCCTGGGGACCCCTAAACATCACCATATGAGCCAAAAAGTTTCCTAACTCATGGGCTTTGCCCCTATACCCCCTATCACTGTGGACTTCAGTGATATATATCGCAACCTATTTTCTTAATATGCTGTAGATTATTTCAAGCATGAATGAGTATAGTTTTTCCACTTGATCTATGATAGTGTCATTAAATTTTCCTGTAAATGCATATCAAAGTATTACATGTCTCACAAATTTCTTATTATCAAATTGTGAAGGGAATTACATACATGAAAAATGTCATATTTTCTGTTGTTTTATCCATAACTGGCAACACTTACCTTGTGCCATACAGCTGACTGCAACTAAAACTATACCAAACTTCCTAATGTAGTTGGCATTCATTAGCCATATGTATATGGGCCAAAATTCCCTTTATATTTTTTCACTACAACTCAAAATGTCCAATTTTTTGCTTCTTTTGTTCTGCAGGAGATTCATACAAAAACAATAAAAGTGACCTTATGGTGTTACTAAAAAAAATACAGTCCCCTTCAATCTTTATGTAAACTGAGCTATCACACATTCGTAACTGAGCACAAATTAAAAAAAATTTCATGTACAACCACTAAATTTCTCTTAGGTGTGGGTATTGGTTTTCCCAAGGAAATGCAAGCTCTTAGGGGGCACCAACATAGCTCTACTAAAAGGGCTATCAAACCAATGTTGACAGCAAAATGTTGCATTCACTATAGCATTGTTTTGTTAAATGTTTCAGTACATAGATGGCTCTGCCTGTACTTAACTATAAAGGAGTCACTTTGTAGATCTTGTGACCTCACCTTTCCTTAAAATAGCGGGAAAACACTTTTTTTTACTAATGCTATCAATGTTGACACTGTATTTTTGTTATAAGCATTAAAATTACTATATTGTTATTGACATTGCTAACAGCATTATTAAATACTAGAAATTATTATCAAAAATCAAGGAAAAGGGTAAACAAGTGATACTGGTAATTCACGTAATTGGCTCATTGGTGACTCAGTACTTGTGTAGCCATCTATATGTAAAAACAATTACTAAATTAAACACACAGTGGGCATGACATATACACACATGCCATCTACTGGCAGCAAGTGATTAAATGAGGGCAATTTTTTTTTGTACTTTCAACAAGATGTAATCTACACTCTTTATGTGTTGCAAAGTATCTAAATGCTATCAATATCAAAACTTATAATTATTATAATACTATCAA